TAACAGTGGTTTTGAAATAGATATTAATCAAAATAAATAATTAATTCGAGGCAATTCCAAGCTACTATTAGTATAAATATTAATTCACAAAAATTGTATGTATACCAATTTTATTGCTCGAATTATCATTGAAACTGAGAAATGTACGTTACAACTGAGTAGAGATTAGTATATTAGAAAAAAAGACGGAGAAGAGGGACGCGAGGGGAGGAAGGGGGAGAGGCTCGGGCGAGAGAGCGTGTCTCTCCGACCGCGAGCGACGTTTTAATCGGGCCGAGCGGTACGTGGACCATGACCAGCGAGAAACCGTGCCCATTCTGGTTCGCCCACGTGACGACGACGACGACGACCACGGCGATTCTGGCACGATATCCGATCGCGCCGAACGTTTGTCGTTGACTTTCGCGACGCCGATGATGGATCGCCCGCTGCGGGACCATCGCGCGGCAGCGACACTCCATTCGTTCAAACAACACGGAGATTAAATCCAAATATACTCGCCATGCCAATTTGGTGGCAATGAAGCGATCTAGTCTCTAGATAGAACTTCTCGCGATCGTCGATTTACCCCGCCGACGGATGGCGATGGAAGTGCCATATGATGGAGGTGACCACCGAGGATTTCGGAGACCGCGTACATATAAAGACGTTCGAATACGCGGGCGCATTGATTTACGATGCGTCGCAGTGAAAATTTGATAAACGCCGTATACGATAGAGATATCCTCCTTCGTATAACGAGATTTTGTTACGCGAGATAAAATCCATTTTGCTGTCCGCTCGATAATGCATTGCGAGTGTTTTGCGTTTTCAGAGAAAAGAAAAAACGGTTGCAACGCAACCGTAAAATGGGTTCTAACGACGATCGTTATTTATAGCTACGCGAGGATACGTGCGCGGGATTTTTCAAAAGACATTTACGATTGTACGTGCCCGTAACTTCGTTGTACGCAGTTGTTATAAAGATCTACGCGCGCCGTATATACGCACGAACGTATAACTTTGTTCATCTTGTAACTATTGCTCTCCATCTGTTCTGTTGTAATGCGTATATCAGTATACAAACTATACACAGTTATTACGACGCGAGATAACAAATAGTAAACAAACGAATCGTATACATTTCATTTGTGGTTCGTAAATCTTAGAGGTCGATCGCGAAACCGACTGCAGATTCTTATCGTTCGGCGTGCTCGCGTACACCGTCCGTATTATTGCCCGCCCGCGAGGAGTTGCCGAAACGCGAGACACGCGATATGGGATTATATGAGCGAGAAACGCGGGGCGCGCGTCGTCTGTATCCTGGCACCGATTCGATCGCATTCGTTCGCTTTTATTGCCGCGGTACACTGCATAAAATGCCTGCGCCCGCGCGCGCCGCGTGCAAATGGCAAAAGAGGATTTACGACTTCCTAGTCAGACCAGATAGAGAAAGTATATAGACGCGCGATTCGCGCGCGCCGTGCCGGTCGGCGAGCCCGTCTTCCGTTTACAATCGTGAAACGACCCACTGTGTCACGGCTGTTCCATCTCTCTTGACGGATTTGTATACGGGTCTCAAATGTTACGTTATATCCCTTCGCAGCATCGATCGCGAATCGCGAGCACGATGGCGTACGCTGTTTTTGAGTCGTTTTTATATTGTTCGCCACGCTGCGCTGTGACAACCGAAACATATTTTCGAATCGGATCGCTTCGAATTGTTTATTAGCGCGGAAATATTTACGCCAGAATATTGTCGGGCGAAAGTCGAGAGCGGCTAATCTATCGGCGCGATTAAATGTGGCGACCGTCGATGTTATAACCCAGCTGCACGGATGAAAACTGACGCGATTGAATTTGACGGATCTGCCTTCGATTTTTCGAGAGACGAGCGGACGCGCGCGCATGCGGGCGGTTTTCATTATTCACGGCACACCGGCCGCGTTAATTACAGCACTTTGGTTTCGTCGATGTTGATTAGTCCGAGAGTGCACGGGCTGTACGTTTGTCTCGCCGCCTGTTGTACGTTTCACCTATATATTCAATTTCGCCAGTTAGCAAACTTTGCGCCGCGCGGAACTTCGCGGCGAGTGGCGAGTATATGGCGCCATTCGCTGTTCTGCAAGTTTGATAAACAGAGGCTAATCGAATGCGGATAGAAATAATCGTTGGCGAGGAACGCCGAGAGATTTTCGCGCCGTGTGGCGAAAGAGCGAGGGAAACGCGCGCGCGCGCGGTCCCATATTTCTCCCCGCAATTTGCGGAGATAAATAAATGAACTTCAAGCCGCTTTTCGAGAAGAGCGTGACGAATATGTACGACGTTGTTTCCCTCGCTCGCCCTTGCCAATTATCATCTCTCTTCGAAATGCCGCTGTTGAAAATATATTTCAACGGTGCGGCGCGGCGCGGCTTGGCGCGGCGTGGGCGCGCGGCGCTGCAGCAAGCCGCTCTTTCAAGCATTTTGCGGAGATAATGGCGTTGTCTCCCGGTCGCCGTCATTCGCCGAGCCCGTGCGGAATCGTGCCCCTTATCGCTGCCGTACGAGCAGGACAAACAATGGCGGCGGACAATGGCAGCGCTCGATCGACGACAATGGATTTCGTCGTGTTCTGTAATCCGCGCTCGCCGGGACGCGCGCACATCGTCGTCCGTTCTCGACGATACGTTCCTCCCGGATGCACTCCGTGGATATTCTCGTTAATTAGCGGAGAATTTGTCTTCTCGCTCTTCGACGATGCAGTTGCGCGGCGCAAGAGTTCAAAGAAGTTTTCGCGAGAGAGCGTAATTTTTCCTATATCGGTCTAGACCTATCAGAGAAATTCGAACTTTGAATTTCTTCGAGAACCGCTTAAAAATTTTAAGTAAATATATTCCTGAACCGATAACTTCTGCACGTTAATTCGGATCTTTCCGAATTGCGATCTGTCGACGTCTCGCCCCGCGATGTGTATACACGTGTACACGCGTATATATACGAGAAACGCGATGTACACAGTAGTCTCCGCTAATCCCGCTAATCGAGAGTTAACCCTTGCTCCAGGAAATCACCCCGGAAAGCCTCAACGAGATTTCCGCGCATCCCAGGGATGATCCCCTCGTTATTGTACAGAGAGAGGGTGGAATAAACGGTCGAATAATTCCGCTATTACCGACATCGAGATCCGCGCGGCGCGTCAAGAATCGTTCGGCCGTTTTGTCTTACGATTGTTGCGCGAGTCGGAAATACGTCGCGTCGAACAATAAGACGCACACGACCGTACCGAGGTTCGCCGGGATTTACACGTGTAACGAGCTCCCTCCCCCCCCCCCCTCTTCCCTCGTACTCTCGTCGGGATGGTTAAAAACACCAGCGCGCAAAAGAGGGCATTGCGAGGAGAGAGCGATGGGAAAGAAAGGGTGGGAAAAGACAGTAAAGAGAGAGTAAAGGAGTCTGGGAGAATGAGAATCCATTAACGAGTGCCGTTTTCATACCTCCTCTATGCTCTCGTACAGTCTCGCCCCCCTCGCCTCCCCATCAACCCTCTCGGCACTCGGCCTTAGCCGGCTGTATACCTATCCTCTCTTTCTCGTCCCCTTTCTCCGTCTTGTTGCCTGAAAGAGCATTCACCGGCACAATAGATCGTTCATTACCGATACCAGGACCCGAAAGCGGGAAGATAGTAATACGAGAAAAGGGGGTGGCCGGCCGAGGTGCGAGTTTGTAAGTGTGCGTGCGGGACTTAATCCGTGTGTGTATATTTCACCTCACATAGACAGCGGTATAAGCTTGCCGCAGACGTGGTGTCGTGCATGTATAATACGTGGAACGTATGGTAGGCAGTCATAAAAAGAGGCGGTTGATACTTTTAAGGAAGATGGCCGGATCTCCATATTTTCTGAGAGCAGCTTCACGAATCGCAAATATAGGACCGAAATCGCGACCGATAATGATTTAAATTCAAAGTCGCGTTTTTAACCACTTCATTCGATGAATTGATCGAGGTCATATATATTTATTTAATATTAAGTATTTAATATATCGGTTACATAAATATCGGTTTTTCTCGATGTTTTCTCAATACCTCAATATTTACATAAAAGATTAAAATAACGTTATTCAAAAATTAATAGTTTATAAGTTATTTCATATTTTATTCTAACATATTTTAACATAAAATATGAAATATTTCATAAAGTATTCACATTCTGATCACATTCCGTAATACTTACGTTTTACATAATATCCGAGAAAAACTGATTTATGTAAGAAAATTTACATGTTTTTGATTTAAAAATATATACAGATGATATAAAAATTTAAAAAATTGGAGAACAATTTTTTTCACAATCGGATTCTACATAAAAAGATAATGAAAAAATTTTGTTACGTTCTAGTCATATCTCCTATTTAGCAATTATTGTGTCACATTACTAAATATAAATTTAAAAACGTCTAAATATTAATTTAGAATCCGAATTAACGTACAGAAGTTATTGGTTCGAGGGTATTTAGGAGCACTTAAAATTTTTAAACGGTTCTCGAAGAAATTCAAAGTTCGAATTTCCCTGATGGGTCTAAACCGATAGGAAAAATTACGTTCTCTCGCGAAACGTATTAGATATAGTAATTGTGTTAAATATTCGTGAGAGAGAACGGCTTTTAGTTAAACAATTAATAAAATGTTATATACGCGCATTATAGAGAATGAGAATATCTAAAGCATTAAAAATATATAGGTATATATATGTATATATATATATATATATATACATATATATATATATATATTTTGTATTTTCAATTAAATAAATTGAAAAATTTATCTACATTTGTGGAGATAATTGTTTTTTGTTATATTTTCTTTATAACGACCAAAAATTTCGCCAATCTCGTCAATTTATAATTAATTATTTCCGAAGATATTAGTTAAATAGAAGATATTTCAGATTGAAGATTGGATTTTTTAATCATGCAGCTTTTCTCAAATCATAGTTCTAATCTGCTTTTTGCCCATTTCAGTGACGCGTTAGGACTGCGAAGAGGATTAGGAAGTGGAACTAGCGGACATTAGTCGCGACCATCGATGGCGGCCGCGAGTTTTCCTCCAAACTTCTCGAACGTCGGTGTACTAGAGAATTGGTGAGTGTATTTCCATTTCTAATTGTTAGATATTGAATTTGCCTCTACGAAAAGCTGAGATCTTGTTTCGTCATCACGCTCCAAATCGATATAGATTAGTTATTATTATTTATTCGTAAAACTAATCTTACAATATCGAGCTTCGTGCTTATAGACTTGTGCTAACAGGACTTTTCAATAATATAGTAATCTATTGTGGTGAACGGTAAATAATTAGCGGAAATCCGAGAACAAGTTATTGGGGATTTTCGGATTAAAATTTCTCATTTTAAATTCCCTTCGGCTGCTTTTGCGTAGAAAATTTAATAGAAAAAATAAAGTTACTGCGGATAATGAATTTACATCGAACTGTTGAGTTTATCGGTTACCTCGGGGCTGCAAATTATTGCTTAGCCAGTAATATTAATTTTAGAAATATATATATATATATATATATATATATATATATGTATATGTATATATATCGCGATCATATCAAAGATACAATAATTTTTTAATGCATGAGAACTCAGCTTTAATTGCAAATAGATTAAGCTTATGCTATGTCTGCATGTCGGTAATGTGTAAAATTTATACTTCCCGTCTCAAGCTGTTTTACGATCATTGTATACACAATGCACGAGTACACGTTTGTAAGAAGATACAGTTGCATCTATAATGGGATCTCGACGATATCTCTCGACAAGATCCGTTCAACTAGCTTAACGAAATTATTTTATTTGCATTTTTTCCACTGATTGAATAATTCCTTCAACCGAATGCAATTAATCACGAACTGTCTCTGTATACATGCAAAACCAGCATTCGCAATAATCTGCAATATTTAACGAACCGTTTCTGAGATATTGCTAAGAATGTTGGAGGATCATTAATCACGTCATATATTGCGCTATTAATACTCCACATTAGACGTCCTTATGACTAAGTTGGGAATTAAAATTTCGCTAAAGCGCGGGGACTCTACAGTCGAATTTAACCGCGCAACAAAATTCTATCATCTCATTATATGCTCATCTATAATTATCCTCAAGCTTGAATCGCGAAAACTATCCCATTTCTCATTAATTTCGTCTTAATCTTAATCAAGGAGTCCGTTTTCGCGCACGTTAGTTGCAAATCATCCTGCACACCCGAGCGAGTCGAGATCCGGCGTGATATTCGGACGTCGCCGGGCACAATAAAGTGGCTTAGACAATGCGGCATTGTTGTGTACACGTTTCGAGGTATCTTGCACGCGGAAGGTCAGACGCCGTATTATCGTCCGCGCCCGTCATGGACGGACGGAATGGGATGGTTTGCGTCAGCGAACGCGGCGGTGAAAAAGACGAGGCGGGATGAAAAGTAGGTTTCTTCTATTTTCCAGCTTTGATTAAAGTCCCTTTCGAAGGAGCGAACGTAGCGATTCTTCATGCGCGCGCGCGCGCATGGCATACACATACACATAGAAATACGGAGCATATATATATATATAAACGATGAAAACTCGTGCGCGACGCACCGCCTTTTCGCGTATATATCCTTTTCTCCCTGACATTTCCGTCACGTTTCCCGCGCGAGGCTCTCTGTAAGCCGTGAAAAGGGAAACAGGGAGGTCCGTATATTTGCGATTATAGGTCTTTCTCCTGGCGCACACCTCCTTTGTTCCTGACCTGCGAACCTTATACTCGCGCGTAGACCGAAGATCGAACAGAATAGTAATCAGAGAGACCTCTTTGTAGCGCGACAACGCGAATGTTTTCTTACGCGAGAACACCGTGTTGATTCGCCCGCTCTCGCGAGAGATGAATTACGACATATCTACGATCTACGTGACCGCTGATTATATCCTGCACCGCGGGGGCCGTAAAAGCGGGAAGCGTATCCAATATTACACGTCACGTTACGCTTCGTGCAAAACGCAATTCGGAATCCCGAAATAGTTGAGAAGTCACATGTGGTTTAATCGTACGTGAATTTGTAATATCCGGCTAACGTGCATACATATAGGTATATACATACACACTGCGGGACACTTGAGCGATATTTATAACCGTACATGCGCGACGTACCGCTCCGTATAACGCTTTTCATTATAGCGATTAAATGCCGCATCGATCCCCCGAATGTCGATTAACGGCATTAACGCGGCGAAGGATTATATCGTTCACCGCGACTGATTCGCGTCGAATCTCTCTCGTTAAAAGAATTTAATAATGGATAGGCTCTCTACGCGATGTAATATACGATGAGCATATATATATATATATAAAACGTTATATTTAAAATAAAATATTGCGTCGCGTAAATGTGTGCGTATTTTAACATGCTCCGATTATATTATTCCAAGACGAAATATCTGGAAGGCTAAAAAAATTATCCCGTATTTTGAAAAAACGTTCTTGAAACATTAATTTTTCTTTTAAGAGTTTTGCATTTTCAATTTTAATTTATCGCCACGTTATTTCGCGCGCAGCTGTATAATGTACTTTGAGTACTCACATTGACTCGCCAGGTTTTTTAAAACACGACGTCTCGTTTGTGAACATTCCTCAGGCTTCAAGCATTAGTCCGTTTGCGGACGTGTTTTTCCAGAGCCAGCGGACGTTGGCATATTTGGCATTTCGGCGCTTCCTCGTTACGCGCCGCACGTATACGTACGTACGTACGTGCACATAACGAGAGGATGTTAAATGACGGTACGGCATGGCGCGATTCATTCTCATTGTACTTTGTTGCAAGAGGGAGAATGGCGTGCGCGCGGCCGCTCGTATTTTCGGACGGTCCATTGAGAATAAGGTGGCCGCGGAGCATGCAGCAAGCAGCGAGTGTGTGTCGCGCTCCGCGCTGACAGTTGCCGCTGTTGACGGGTTCCTTTGCAGTTGACGACGTGCAGGCGACTTATAGAGGCGCGCGTGTGCTGCTGCGTATATGTATATATGCGCGAGGGCAGGTGCTAGGTCGCCCACGCGACGTATATTGGTCGACGAGATAGAGTGGGTGGCGTTCACAATTAGCCCGACGTTAGCGTGCGCGTACGTCATAAATTGATGTTACGCCAGCGGGGCGGACGTGTCGCCCGTATAACATACTCGCGCGTCGGCTGACAAACCGTTCGGATTTTTGCTAGCGGCGCGTGGAATTAATTTGCACGACGGGGCGGGCGGAAATAGAGATTGAAACGAATCCCGGCCCCGGCCGAGATTTTCCAGCGCTGCAGCAGACGACGACGGGCGCGACGTACGTGCAGCAGGCCGCCGCGTATCGCGACGCCAGGCCGTTCCCGGGCGCGTCCGTCGCACCACCCTCCTCTCCTGCTCCCTCGCCCGAGGAACTCGGGAGAAACTTCTAAATGAGTTTGAATATTTGATAAATTCGGGAAACATCGCGCCGCGCTATTTCGCACGTCCGCTTTTATTTAGATCTATTACCAGGCGGCGACTTCGGTATCGGTGAATAAAAGAGCACAACGCGCGCGGATATTTGTCGCCGTTTACCTTTTTACCTTTTTCTGTCCTTTTGACCGAGATAGCGAATCCTATATGTTACCTCTTTTCGCGCGCTTTTGCTTTTGTTCAATTTTATCTAGGGGGACGATTGACGTAACGCGCGTCATTTCTAAAGCAGTCGGTTCAGACTGCAGCTTCCGGTTTGATACCGCGAGAGAGAGAGAGAGAGAGAGACAGAAAGAGAGACTTGCACAGCGATATTTACGCAAGTTTCGAATCTTCGAAGCGGATATTTTGAAATGCACTTTTTTTTTCTTGCGCGGCGAAGAACTCAACCGCGCACCGTACATATCCCCGATAGACTTAATATCGGATAAAACCTACTTTCATCTTTCCGATCGATTTCCATTCCATCGGAGCTTAAGATTTTCGTCAGAAATTCTATTAGCGGTATTAACTCTCACGCGCGGATATGATTTGCACATCGTGCTACCATTATCTTGAATTTTACACAAGCCGATGCGCAAGCCGGTAATCCCTCAAAAGCAAATCTGGAACAAGAATCCAGACAGCCAAATGGAATACGATCAAAGTACTTTTCGTATTGACTTTTTGAAAAAAAAAATTATTGTCAAAAATGAAAATGTCAAATGATTAATTGATCAAGCGCTATCGCGCTATCTAACGGTATTCGTGGAACAAAATTATATAATATTGAAAGTCCCCCCACTACGAGGATAAACGTAACTCGTCATCATGATTAAATTAAAGAGACATTTTATAGTGACAACACGTACCAATGTAAAAAATATAAACGATAAAGTATATAATACTATAATAAAGTATCGTGAAAAGAGGGGCCGAGATCTCTGTATAATACAGTTATCGGGGCTGCGACTGCGAGCAAATTGCGCGAAATCACTTTTATTGCGTAATCCGTGCGCGAGAGGGACAACAGTCCTCGAAACCGTCTTAGTGGCACGGAAGAGGGTGTATCTCGCCTCCCTTGTATCGCGCGCTCTCGTTCTACCCCGGGCGGGGGAGGAAACCGCAGCGATGGCCCTACATACCACACAGCAGGGTCGTATAAACGAGTTTTCGGTAGAAGTGGCTCGACCCCACGAGTTTCCGGTGTCGCAGAATTGCCTTGGCCGGTAACGCCTTTGCCACGGTACACCGCACGGCCGCAATCTGTTCTACATTATCCCCCCATGTCTGAAAATCGCCCGCCGATAAACGCCGCTACGCGAATCTCGACGTTTTATTTCAAGTCCAGCTGTCCCGTTACGATATAATCGCCACCATTGACATTCTATCGCGCGGCTGTAACCGTTCCGTTGAGATATAACGCATTATCGACATGTTGGTTCAAATAGAGATATGTGGCGCTGCTAACAGCTCGATGAAATTTGACGCTAGATCCATTTCCGGAGAGAGATTTCTCATCCAGAGATATTACTCCGTTAAATTTCGATTATTAAAAAAAACATTCTACTACTTCAGTAATCATTGCTAACGGAATTACGTAAAAATACCTCTCAACGTTTTTACATGGATATATCATACATATATTGC